AGTGAAGAACAATGAACTGAAATGATCTCAGTGTCGTTGGATGACTAGTGGTAATCCTTTTGCCCAAAATAAGTGAAGTCAGAAATAAGAGATGTTGTAAGTCTACCCTACTCAACACCTTACCTAAGACTGGAATTCAGATCTATGTCAGGGTGTGGCCTAAAGTGACGTTAGATTAGTGCCATTGCTGGCTTTCTTTTGAATATTCTAGTTGATGGTCTATTTAAGTCACACACCAGAAACAAGCATGCTGTAAATGAATATAAAAGTGTCAGAGTTTGTTATCTCTATAACTTTGTATGCAACATTGAACCTTGGCGGCTTCCATCATTCTAACATGACAGATTCCCTTAAAACAGAAACTATAAGGGCAAATAATAACAGTGATATGCAGCGCTGAAGAAAGTGAATGGATAACAATAGGTATGAATATGATAGAAAATCCCCAAATAAGGGGAATTGATGATATTCCCAAATGTGTGATGTGATTAACCCAATAAAGGCACATACATGTCAGTGACTTCTGTGGCTATCACGTATGCATACCCCCTATGAATACGTGCGGTTGCACGAAACGCGTCAGCGAGGAGCTACAGTGCAGTGATGTCACGCTGCCAGCACCACGCGGGTCCCGGCGGCCATCTTGAATCCATATCTGGTCAGTAGCTGTTATTTACATTTCTCATTCTTGCTGGTTAATAAAGTTTGCTACAGTAATAGCAGTAACACGCTATTTGGCCTCCCTTTATTTCCTAGGGCTCTTTGTGAGCTTCCCGCCACCTGCACAGCTACGGTCAAGGAAGTGAGTGCCATACCGGTTTACTGAGTGAGCAGAGATACAGTGGCAGACCAGACCATACCTCAGAGGGAATCCCGATTTTACCTCAAGTGGGGTTATGTCTCTTACATGCCCATACTGATTGTGCATCTGGTGAGTGTGCAGTCTTTTATCAGTTTGGACACCATCACATTTTGCATTTACTAATAGGATCTTTGTGATCTCTTCTTCACCACATCTACTGGGATATTGTGGACTGTATACTCACGTGTATAAGCAGTTGCAATGCAATAACACAGATATTTATACATGTGTGGACTTTTCTTCTTTTTTTCACTGGATTTATGCACTATGGTGTGTTATATGTAGTTGTATCTGATACTAATGAGCACACATAGTCACGGACTGAACAACCATATATATGTTATTATTTACTGTGTATATGATCTTTTAGCGCTGCACCCTTTGTTTACTTAGCTGTAATAATATGTGTTGATGGTGATGTCACAATATTTTTAAATGGCTAATCAAGCATAATCATACTAGGTATCTTTATCACGAAATCAATATTCTGATGGTGATGCTGTACATGATTTTGGATGATCTGTTATATGGTATGTCTACATGTGAAAATTTTACATAATAAAGAGTTTGTACTTTTTACAATTTTTTGTTATATATTTATGCCCTTAAAGTCCAAATTCTTATAGGGGGGTCTCTCTTTCTTCGTTTATCTTGCAATTATGGGGATGTTGGCTATTGATCAGTAAACGTCTTTCTTCTTTTTTTCAACATATAACAAAATAACAACTATACATTCCTTTTATTGGGCTCTTGGATTGGAATACCCATGCTCATCTGGAGTGGAATAGCACAGCTGTGGAATTTTACATGTATATACTTTCTTCCCTTATTCTAGCACCATCCAGATTATTATAAGGGGCAAATAAAAATACATATATATTTGTTTTTTTTTTTACTGTAGCAACAGATCACAATTTGATATTTTATTTTCTTTGCTTATAGGTCCAGAGTAGACAAATTGATTTAGAATTAAAGAGCAATCAGACCAAACTAACTGTAATTATTAGTGGACACATTTCATTACAAAGTAACACCTACCAATACCAGTGTCACCAGACCAATGTATGCCAGCAACAGTGTTACTGATCACTTCCACACCAGCCCCAGTTTCACCAGACCAGAGTATGTCAGTAACATTGTTACTGATCACCACACAAGTCCCAGTGTCACCAGACTAGTGTAAGCAAGCAACAGTTTTCCTGATTTCTGCTACACTTGTGCCAATGTCACTACAGTCAGTGAAACCAAAAACAGTGGCCCTGATCACCACCATGCCAGTATCTCCATACTGAGGAGGAATAGCAGAATGTGTTTTGGGGTGCAATTCTAAGTGTGCCCGTGCTGTGTGTGGGAAATATCCCTTTTTTTTTACAGAATGTGTGAAAAATAACATATTAAGTGACAACTGTGTGTGTAAAGAAATACAATTTTCATTTTCTTTCTTCGTTTTTTATAAACTTGTTATCTTCAAAAGAGTCACCATGCCTCTAATACGTTGTAGAGTCTGCTAGCAAATAGAAAAAGACAAGACAGGTTTTATCTCCCAATAAAAATTAGTGTATTATCAGAGAGACAATAGCCACAAATATTGTTCAGTAGCTGGACAGTATGTAAACAGTTTGGTAGGGCCATAATACAAGATAGAGAGAGAGAAGAGGCAGGTTTTATCTTACAATAGAAAGTTTAGTGTATTATTTGAGAGACAAATAGCCACAAATATTATACAGTGGCTGAGCAGTGCAGCTCCGCATGGCAGCAGGTATCAGCTACAATCTGGAGCTGCCAAAAAACATTACACTATAACCACTTCATAATCTAGAAGTGCGAGCCACACTTTGTCACAATTCTTTACACCGCAACCCTTTCCACTTTATAATCTAGTAGTAATTTCCTGGTCTGGGTTGCCTTTCTGTATCAGACAACCGAAGCCTAGTAGATTATGCAATCAGATGATAGCATCCAGGACCATCTAAGGAAAACAGCCTTGTACACTTCTGAAGAGCATTGCAAAACAGTGTTACAGGACTTTGAGAACCACTGGCCAATGTCAGACACTTTTAAAGACATTTTCTGGAGAGTCCAAAATCAGACTCCCCTTCTGGAAACCAATCAGCTTTATCAGCTTGTTCTAAAGCTTTGGAAACCTGGAAGCTGAGTCCAAAAGTCAGACTCCCAGCTTTAGTGCACCAACAGAAAGGCTCAGGTACAAGGGCATCAAACTCAGAAAGTCAAATGCAGAATTATCTATGGTACTTCTTAGTTGCTTTGACCTGCTTCAGTTTGCCTTTCAGTTGATCAAGATGTTTTTTGCAGGTGCTTTTTAGTTTGCTATTTTATTTTTCTTTTGCATTCCCATTGAGTCAGTTGTCATTATGGAGAAGAACAGCTCAGATGCAAACAAAAAAGTATGCACATAAGCCAAAACTCAGTCTCAGAAACCCAACCTATGCTATATGGCAGGGCTGTATATATCTTAGCACTGGATGGACAGAAATACAAATCCTCCTTATATGTGTTGAATTTGTGTATTTAGTTCTTTTCGTAGAATTCACTTTTCAGAAATATGAATGTTTATGTTGTATTACGCTGAGCTAAGACTCCTTAGCACATGTAGGAACTGAGACAAATCTAGAAGCCTGTGACAGGTCAGTAAAGACGCCATGACAAGATTACTTTGACGTGTATTTTAATATCTGCGTATAAGGACTTAGCCTGAGAAGGCCGACTTAAGTGGGTGATTAGCAAGAGGAATTCTACAATCCTCTGTATGTAGGAGGGGTGAGCAAGAGAAAGGCCATATAATCTCTGACATGCTGTATGACATGCTGACCTGTGCATCTGTTTATCTATCTATCTATCTATCTATCTATCTATCTGTCTGTCTATCTGTCTGTCTATCTATCTATCTATCTATCTATCTACAGTATTTATCTATAATATTTATAGTATTTTTTTACAGTCACAAGCAATCTTTAAATTGTAAACCTTTTTATTTTGGAAACCAGAAAATTGTTGAGATGGATTCTTTGACATTCGTAAACCTCTTAGGTGGCTTCTTTTGTATATTTTAGAAGAACACTTTACAATCCAGGCGTTGGCCCAGTTTGATTGATAGATAGATTGATTTTCCATGGTAAAATTGGGAACTTTGATGTGGAGTACTGACACATGAAGGAGTTGTTTTTAACAAAGGACACTAGTCATAGCCCAGGAGTGGGTGTCTTTGATTAGTGGATGGATTCCTGATGCAAACCAAGTGGTCCTCCTACAGGGATTTCAGTCTTCTAAGGGAATTTCTATCAAAAATGGATTGCAAGTAAGTTGGAGAAAACTTGAGTTTGCCAAAATGCATTTATCAGCTGGTGACTAAATAATATTTTTGTCTTTGATAACCAGGGGTGGACTGACAACTCATGGAGCCCCCGGGCAATAGGGGATCATGGGACCCCTGTTTCCTTGTCCAAACTCAAAAAAGCCTATGAAAAAGGTACCAGGGGCATCTCATGGGGCCCCCTACTGACCCGGGCCCTCGGGCCCCGAGTTTCCAAATGGTCAGTCCGCCCCTGTTGATAACCGTTCAGGCCACGCACAAAGCCTATATTCACACAAACCTCCTGCATTTAGTTTATTTACACACACAGGAGAAATTATCTGACCATAAACAAGCTTCATAGATCAAGTTCTGTTCCACTTCAATTTACTTGAGTTGATGTGCTTTTAGACACTTTCATAGCATCTAATTTGCCCCTATTTGTTCTAAGTTCAGCTTTTAAAAAATATATAAATTTTATATAAATGCCAGTACATCATTGCCCTTAGTATATCACATTAACAGGCTCTAACACTACACACAGCAGAAGAAGAAAATATGGGGGGGGGATAGAGTGTTCTTTGTATCTTTCATTGTAATGAAGTGGAATTGTGTCTATCTCTCTATCTGCATAGACATACCTATGTATACCTGTAGTAAATAAACACATGACGAAAAATATTACAAAGTTATAAACAGTCGCAAACAGTTTTTGGATTGTAAACCTTTATGATGCACAAAAATACCAGAATGAATTGTCTAACATCATGCACAACAAAGAAGGAAGATAAGTAAAGTTCTTTGTATGGCTTCAAGGAATGAATTGTGTCAGGAAATCTCACATCCACCTTTTTCTTTGAATGGATTCTTGTCTTCTGGAACTCCTTTCAGCAATGGATCTTCTGTTGCTAGAGACTCAACATAGCTCTTCATTTCTTGTGCAGACTTAGAAACCTTGAATGAAATAAATTGGAATCAGACTTATGTTCCAAAAAATCTGTATAGTGGAATCAAAGTGCATTTTTGGCCGGAGTTATAGGTCTAGACCAGTGGTGGTCAACTTTCTTGATATAAGGGGCCTCTTGACATCACCAAAGGGCCTCACATATTATGCAGTGAATGTAATACTACAGAAAGCTGACGAGATTGCAGAAATTTTGCAAGAGATGACCAAAAACTGCATGCATGCACAAGTTGCAGACTGGTATGCAGAGGCTTTTAGGGTCACAGGGCCACATGTGGTGCCCAGCTTAAAGGTTAGGCATTAGGGATCTATCCAGTGGGAAGAGCACCTGTGGGCCTATTCCTATGGGCTCTATCGCCACACTTCAATTATTATTGATTTTTAGCCATGCTTTGGTAAAGCTACAGGGAAAGACATCCAAGTAAATGTGGTTATGCTCTTTGACTGCTAGCCAGTGGGGACTGACCATTTGGAAACTCGGGCACTGCCCGAGGGCCCGGGGTCAGGAGGGGCCCCATGAGATGCCCCTGGTACCTTTTTCATAGGCTTTTTTGAGTTTGGGCAAGGACACAGAGGGCGCCATGATCCCCTATTTCCCGGGGGCCCCATGAGTTGTCAGTCCGCCCCTGCTGCTAGCACTGCTTTATGTACATTTTTTGAGAATGTCATATCCAACCAACACAGAAATGAATGTGTTACTATTGATGACAATTACATCATTGATTCATCTTCTCATTTTAAAGCTTTGATGAAGGGATATACAACTCCCAGAAACATGGGGGCCAAGATTACAACGATAATCTAATAAAGCATCTATGGATGAGAAGTATTCATCCATCTTTTCCTATATAAGGTTTTGCGACTCTGTACTAATGTAGAATGCTCACTTTTTGCTGTTCAATATTAACACACTCATAATGACACTAGGGTTTAAAGTAATTTTTCAATTACAGCGATGAATGAACTTTGCTATGAATTACCAACTTCTATAGACTATGCCAGCACATACTAGAATGTGATTTTCTAAAGAAGTCATTTAACTCTTGAGAGAAACCTTCAAAGAACCTATCATTAACAGAACTTTTTTTTTCCCCAGTCTGCCGAAAAAGAAACCGTTAGTAAATCAGATTCTCAATGTATTATAATTCTTACAGTATACCTCTTGATGTTAAATGGCTCTATAGATTGGTAGTGGATTCTATATCTATCTAAATTGTTAATTTTGGCTAAAAGTATCAATATTTACAAAATATGTTCAGTCAAAACCTTTCTTAGTTTTGGATAGTGTAGGGAAGCTTTAGATTTGGGGGTTTTAGCTACCACCTGTTAGATTTTCCAAATTTTCTGCGATGGTGACAATGGTTAAGATAAGATAAGTACTAATCATAAAAGTCTTGAAAAACATGGAGGTGTCCTGTTATGTATATATATAGAAAATGAAAAAAAATATGTTATTTAATAAAATCATTGAACACCTCAGTAGCTTATTCCATGCAAGCTGGCTTACTTCTCATCAGTTTACACTTCTTTATCATTTAGGATTTGCTCTTATTGGCATCAACTCATGTGGCCTTGTCTAATCACTCTTCTATGGAGAGATATACAAGATGACAACTGGATGTAGCTGTCAATGCTCATTGACATGATTCCCAGCAATGGATTCACCTAAAAAGCGCATGCAAGGTCCATTATTTGTTCAGACCTCAGCAGTCTCTACCTGTACCAAAAGAAACAACTTGGTGTCTAAAGGTGGACATTTCCTGGGATTACTAAGGACTGAAATGGGACTTAGGTTGGATTCTTGGTATCCACCATTGCGGCCCCTCATAATAAACACAGTGAGAATCCTATGCAGTACCCTTCTATGAGACAGAAACAGCTTCTGGCTCTTTGTTGCCTGAATGTGGTGGGCAAGACAAAAGTAAACGTACAATCATTGATTGATTTAGTCCTTATTTAGCTTCAGAGAAATAATTTGAAGCATTTGACCACCAGTATTAGAGTGTCAAAACAGCTTTCTCATTGCATTCCAACCCCACTCTTATAACCCTAAGCTTGACCCATGTTCATCCAACCAAACCTTCCATACCCACCTGCATACCCTCCTGTATCCAACAAAACCTCTATATCCAACAAAACCACTAAGCATACTAATAAAAATTGTCCAAATCCCCCCGTGTATTCTATTCGAGGAGCTATTTTGCACTTAAGCATTGCGTAAATACCATCAGATTAGGTCTAAAACTACATAATCAATGATATTAATTGATGCCAGTGTGAGATGTTTTAACTACACCTAACCTAATAATCTCTGTACTGCCAAATAATAGGTTAAAATAGGCCAAAAAATATAAAAAAAATGATGGTCATTAAAATCATCTGATTGCAACAATTTTTCATAAAATGGAAAAGAAAACCACAATATAAATTTACATTTGTTAAGATATCATTATTGAGTATACTGTCTAGGATATATGTGTATATATAAGTAGTTACTAGGCCATACCAGTAACTATTCATGACTGACCACCCCAAGTCTGACTAAGATATGGGCCTGATTGTCTTTAGAAGGTATAGACATATATGTGTACTAACTTAATGTGGCAGATTTCGGTGTTTGGTAATCACAATGCCAAACTTCTATATTCTTTAGGAGTATATAGATGTAGTTATATAACAGCATTTCGCAGGTAATGTGTTAGCCGTCACTGAGTACCTGAATACCTGCATATTACATTTTACAGAATATTAGTTGGACCTATAACAGTGTACTGGCAGAATATTCTTAAAAACTACATAATCTAGCCAATAGTCATGACTATTTGTAGAGTACCCCATCAGCTACAAGCTAATAGGACGACGTAGAACAGTACTTCACATTCGGGATGTCAATTACAGGCCAAAGGTGAGTAACAGGTCTCAAATAATAATTTGACAGATAAATTAATATAAAAATCCAAAGGGTTTTCAACTAACAAGCAGATGCACATTTCTAAGATGAGATATCTGAGTGACGTCCATTAAAAGGAGAGCCAGATACAGTTTGTGTCCTGGAGTAATTACTAGGATCCCCACAAGACAGCCCGAAAAATGGTTAAAATTATATTTTAAGCCAGCAGGATGACACGATGCATAGACAACTAATGCAAAGACAGAAGAGATAAAAGGGAAAAATTACCAGTGCTCTTTCTGTCTTTATCTCCTTCCTTAACTGCTTCTACTTCCATCTTTAGAAGGTCCTTCTCTGTCATGTCTTGAGCCATTGAAACGTTTGAGGTGATTCACCAAGCAGAATGGTTTTAGTGGACTTCACAGAGGAGCTAAGTACCCTAGTAGATGTTGATGTGAAAACTTAGCAGATGGCGTAGCCCTTGAAGCTCTGTGTTGCCTGTCCAGAGAGAGACCAGAACTCAGCGGTCAGAAGCTGTCCCGTTGGTTGCTCAAATAACTTGGTTCTAAGATGGTTATGGTGATGTCTTTATCTGAGTGTTTTGTTCTGCCACAGACAAGGAAACACTGAGCCTGGCCCTGCTCTATCTCCTCTCATATCTGATCCCTCTCACTCAGTCCTGCAATATAGAAGGCCACAGATGGAAGATCCTCCTTTAATCCTAATCTGATAAAGGGCTTAAAGTGTAACCTGCTTATAGCTCAGTGAGGATGGACAGTATAGAGATGTATGTAGGAACAGGAAAACAAATACTTAGGGTGCATCAGAATAAAAAGAGGTGTTTAATGCACATATTTGTTTTTTTACATGATGGCTTGCTTTCAGATTACACTATAAGCGAGGCAGTCTATTTTTGTAGCTGTTTGCATCCATTTGTTGGGGATGATAAATGCAGGTTCTGCTACTTACTAACTAAGCATAATAACGGCGATTTGTAAAACTTGTTTTTCCCTTCCCTCCATGTTTGCTATTTTAATAGGTTGCTATACTTTCAATAGTGTGCTCTTCCAAAGGGCTTTCTCAAGACTTGGAGAAAGGTGGGCTGTACCGCACCAAAGCATCAATCAGCACTGCAGTAATGTGTGCAGAGTACTAGACCATGCATGAACTTATTTTGAATGGTACCCTAAAGCAGATTTTCTAACACATTTTAGCCCAAAGGAACTATTGCTTTTTTAGGTCTCAGGAAACCCTTGATATGACTTGTCCATTGATGATCAGTGGGAAGAATGTTCCCTCTAACAGTGGATGTCAGATCGCCACCCCAGCAGTTATGCTGATAGCCAAATGGCATTGAACCTGGAACTATATAGACACTATCAGATGGTATAATGATTAATAACAGCTCAAGGAACCCCTTGCAACCTCTTGAGAAACATTGGTTGAGAATGAACTGCCCTAAATTGCAATCTAGTGACTTGATCAGTGACTTGACACGAAAAAACATCCATAGGAACATTGGTAGAATGATTAACAACAGCTCAAGGAACCCTTTGCAACCTCTTGAGAAACTTTGGTTGAGAATGACTGCCCTAAAGCAATCTAGAGACTTGGTCAGGACATGAAAAAACATCCATAGGAACACTGGTATAATGAATAACAACAGCTCAAGGAACCCCTTGCAACCTCTTGAGAAACATTGGTTGGGAATGACTGCCCTAAAGCAATCTAGTAACTTGGTCAGGACATGAAAAAACATCCATAGGAACACTGGTAGAATGATTAACAACAGCTCAAGGAACCCCTTGCAACCTCTTGAGAAACATTGGTTGAGAATGACTGCCCTAAAGCAATCTAGTGACTTGATCAGGACACGAAAAAACATCCATAGGAACATTGGTAGAATGATTAACAACAGCTCAAGGAACCCTTTGCAACCTCTTGAGAAACTTTGGTTGAGAATGACTGCCCTAAAGCAATATAGAGACTTGGTCAGGACATGAAAAAAACATCCATAGGAACACTGGTATAATTGAATAACGACAGCTCAAGGAACCCCTTGCAACCTCTTGAGAAAAC